ATAATATTATATATATATATATATATATATATATATATATATATATATATATATACACAAATCTTTAATGAGCCTAATTTAGATTTAGAAAATGGTGCAACTGTTCAGTTAATTCACCCCTCAGACGTCTTGGCCCAAATCCATAAACACTAATACGGAAAGTCAGCAAAAGCAGAAGTGTAAGGACACTGATCAGACATAATTGCTGCATTACCGGAAAGCGTGCCGACCCTGTGAGGAGACGTGATGCTGTTGTTCGAGTTCACTCCTCCAAACAGCGCCTGCTGCGCGTTGATGATGTTGGGCTGGGTGCCGTGTCTGGTACCGTCCACCGGTGGACTCCGGTTGGGTGTGAAGGACGACTGCTTGGGACTGTGATGGTGACCTCCAGTGCCGTCGTCTAGACTCCGGGAGCGCTGGCCGAGCTCTTTGGGTTTACTCTTGGTTCCACCCATGGCCTAGACCTGCAAAGAGACAGACAGCCAGTTAGCGGATGTTTTTACGCAAAACACCTTGCTAGAGTCAAATTCAAGTAGCTTATTTAAAATAAAAAATAGTATATAATTTAAAAATATAGAAAAATAAATCAAATGTAAATGTAAATATAAAAATATTTAATATTTATATAAAAATATATAATAATCTGGGTTTTCCCTGTAGGCTTATCTCTAATAAATTTGAAAGACGACTTTTTAGTCTGTTAACTTTTGCTGCCAGGAAGAACCTACTGATGTCATGGATCAGTGATAAGCCCCCCTCCATCAAAGGCTGGCATTCAATCATTAGGGAAATTATCCCTCTGGAACTCTTGACCTGTATTATTCATTCTACAACAGATGCATTCAATCGTATATGGACACCATACCTTAACTGCATAAATGCTTCTACCTGTGACATTTTGTGGCTTGGTATGACATAGTGTTCCTAGAGGTGTATAGAAGATTCATGTATTCTCCCCAGTTTTTATTATTGTGAATTTTGAACTGTGATATAATGCTCTGCTTATCATCTTATGTATACTTTTGTTTTTGTATTCTCTTTTGTTGTATATCAGGCAGTGTGTGTATGTTATTGTTTTGTATTGTGTTGGAAGTTAATAAAAAAAAAATATATATATATATAATAAAATAAATATAAATGCATGTATTTATTTACTTATTATGTTGTATTTAAATAAATAAATAATCTATCTAAAATAAAACAATAACAGATGAATAAACAATAAATACATTTGGATGGTTTATTAATCATGTTTTACAGTATTTGAAGTCTAGATTTTTAACCACTGTGCCACACTACCCGTAACAACCTATTACATTCATAAATCGTAGGACTTTTGACACGTTTTTTGTTCTATATGAAAATATATATATATTTCAGAAAAATAACTTTGATGCAATTTGTACCATTAAAAAAGCTTCAAATGAATATTTGACCCCCCTCTTTTTCCAGCACTGGCCCGTTTTAAAGACTGGCCCGTTTTCATGCTTTATGCATGAACTTCATGAATTATTAACCAAATGTATGCAGGCAATATTCTGTTATTCCTTAAGTAACACAAATAAACTGTGATATTGGTGCACTGAAATATCTTTATCTAGAGAGATATTGAGTATTAAACCATAGTCTCATTACTGCATATGAAAACAACACAATATTAAAATTCAAGCCATTTTAATTAACTAGATTGACATTTTCTGAAGAAATGTGAGTGGTGTTCTTTACGGTTTTAAAATGAGGTTTTAGAAGAAATGAGAAACAATGAGAAAATAAATGGATGGGCCTCGATTTTATTCCTCACAAATTGTTTATTGGACATTGAAAATTGAGCCAGAATGGAATGAAGTCATTCTAATCATGCATTTCGAATTCTACTGATGCAATTTTACTAAATAAATAAATAACTGTTTGGTTATTGGTTAACATTGTCCAAACGCCACTTGAGCATAGCTGAAAAAGATGCATTTTGCATCAAAGATGTTTCAGATAAGTGATTACCCTTTGATTAAAGATTACGAATACTATTTCGTAATCAATGACATGCACTGATAAGTCGTTCTCAATAACATCAGGAATGTATATTAAAAATAGGATGCAAAAATGTACAAATGTATCCTTGCTGTTAGAGGTTCTGCCGAAGCATGCCCTATTAATAAAAAGTCAGAGATTACTACAAGCAACCAAAAAAATGAAAGGTGCAGTATGTAATATTGACAACTAGTGTTTGAAATGGGAACTGCAGTCCAAAGACTCGACACTCATGTGGGTTGCCAGATTGAGGACATGCAACAGGAAAGGCTGCAATTGACGACACTGTAGGCTGATGAGTTGATTTATCCACGTTTTAATATTCCTCCAGTCATAGAGCATTTCAGATGGATGCCAAGGCTTTTAGGTCAGGTAGAATTTACAATCTCTGACCCAGTTCATTTGCTGGCTTCCATGGCTGCAATACGCTGTGTTTTCCACCAATTGGCAACCCGGGGTGTCGAAATACTATTGGGTAAACTGGCAATGGGCGGAATCACACAGAACAAAACAAAAACAGACATTCTGACACGGAAAGCACATTTTAAAGCAGAGTAACTGGCTGTAGCGTTGTTTTTCGGAGAAACAAGTATGAGAACTTAACATGTTTCCTAAATATCTACAAACATATTATGGTATTTTTATACTTTGTACAGTTAAAAAATTACATACAGCACCTAAATAATGCTGTCATTTTACACAGACAGATCTGATCAAAAGAAAAAGGCCAGAGAAACCAAGTGGCCGCAGTTTGTGTGACCCACGGTAGCATGAGGCTGTGTTTAGTGCATTTTAAACTCACTTCAGTCGAGTACAGGAGCGCTCAGCTGTTTCCTCTCACATACCAGTGACAGCCGCTGCAATACGATCCTCACGGACCCCCAAAACACACACACACACATTCTTCCACATGTCATGCTGTCCGTCTGCCTGCACACACACACATTCTTTGAGGGACAGACAGAGACACTTTCCCATCCACCCACACAAACCTCACTAAACACACGCTTCCTTACGGTCCTCAACTCTCTATAAACGTGCAGAACAAGCCCCCGCTTGCCTACAGGGTGATAAATTCTACAAAAACGGAAGCCTCTTGTGCCAGAAACCCCGGCGGACTGGCAGCTCAGGGCGACCCGTCTCTTAGAGGAGCTGTTACAGGCCCGGCGGAGTGGAACTAATCTCAGTCGAGCAGTGTGAATGCGGAGTTAGAGCGCGGCCGAAGGCCCTAGAGCCCTGCAAGCTTTCACTAGAGACCTGCGCACTTTAGGTTCACTGGCAGTGCTGCAAACCGTACAGTCACATGACTGGAGTTATGAGGAGAGTGCTCAGATACGCGCTCTATACCATTAAAGACCTGCACTGACCCTGAAATGATAGGAAATTCAAGTTATTTTTTCATGATAATATCTGTCCACATCGATTCCAAGTGACGCTGAATTAAATATGGCATTTACAAACAAGTTCTCATGCAAAACGGTTTACAACAAGTGCAATGGCAGCTTTTTCTTCACTCTTTGAAAAAAGGCATGAAAAGAAAAACAGACTTGAAATGACAACATAAAAAATAAAAAAATAACAAAAGAAAAGAAACAAAAACAACTGAACAAAATAAAAGAAAACAAAAAACAAGACAAAATAAAATAAAATACATCCATAAAACAAAAAATAAACAAAGAAAAAGAAAAACAAGACATAAAATGAAGAAAACAAAACAGAAAACAAAACTAAAGCTAAAACAAAATAAAAGAAAAGAAATATACATATATAAAAGAAAAAGGGTTAAATAACCATAAACAAAATAAAAACAAAACCAAAATACAACATATAAAAAGCACAAAAAATAAAAACAAAGCAACAAAAGATACAACAATAAGACAAAAATAATAATAAAATAAAGAAAAATAAATAAATAACCAGCCAAAATGTAATAACATCTGATCATCATGGTCTGCCAATTCAGAATGTGTTCATAGAGATTTCATTCATTTATTTGTTCCTGTCGCAAATGAACTATTAATGTATCTGATTGATTTGTTTTACAAATGTCCGCTTTTTTAAGCCAATTAGGCTCTATTCCTGCAAAAAAATTAAGCAATCTGTGGTTAAAAAAAAATATGCAGTGAAAAGTTGTTTAAGAAAGCTGAAAGAGAGAGAAACAACAGCTCATTCGTTTGCTCTCCACCATATGGGCTCTAAATGACATAAATGTATCATGGGTGCTATACGGTCCCTGCGTTTACCAGTCAGTATCAAGGGGAAACGTGCATCCTGCAACAACACAGATGTCTCGTTAGCCCAATTAATGGAGTCCTAACTGTAAGTAGCAGGGTGAATTTACTGACACGTTCAACAGCACTAAACCACAATGAGATGAATCAGGGTGAACTCTGGGTAATCAAAGAGCAGCTCATGCCTCACTAATGTCCAGCCACAAAAAAAAACAGTCATTAAATGCAAAGGCACAGTCCTTAAAGGGAAATCTAATTTGCTTTGTGAGGTGTGAATGTTTGGCTCTGATTGAAGCTGTATCTGTTAGTCAGCCGGAAACGACCTTACTGGAAGAAAGAGTCAAATGGGGTTATGACATTATGTAAAGCATCATTGATCTATGGTAAACAACAACTGGAAACAGGAAGTTCATTCATCGAATTTATGCTGTGTTGTGTCTGCGGGTTATGAAGTCTGCTTGACAGATAATGTCATTAGGAACCGATTCTTCATTTGAAGGGCTATTTGAATAATAAAACAACATAAAAACAAAACACACTGATTCTGTATTAAAACATAATAAAGTATACAAACATAATAAAAACAAACAGACAAACAACAAAACAAGACAACGAAAAGTAGCAATCAAAAACACAAAAAATTTAAAAAGAAATAAACAATAAGAAAAAGAAAAGAAACAACAAAACAAACACGTAATACAAAAGACACCTTTAAAAAACAAAATACCAAAAATAAAAGAAAGATAAAAAGAAGCAATAAAACAAAAAGAAAAATGAAAAAATACAATAAGAAAAGTCAACAAAAAGCAATAAAAGATAAGCAAAAAAACTAAACATAAAAAATACAAAAAAGCAAAAATGAAAATAGAAACAAGAAATAAAGATAAGAAAAAGATAAGTAACAAATCAAATGCAAAATACAAAAGATAAACACAAAAATACAAAACAATACAAAAAGTACAAAAAGAAAAAAAGAACAAAAGAAATACAAATAAGAAAAGGAAAAAACTAACACAAAACACACGCAAAAAAAGGACAAAAAAAATCAACAAAAGAAAACAAATAAAAAGAAGCTGTGGGTGGATGCCAAAGCATTTCTTTAGGGTTGCTAGGATGTTCTGAGTGGTTGTTAGGGTCTTCTGCGTAAGACTCAGGTTAACTCGTAAATCTGAGATTAGGTCAGGGAATCATACAGTTTAAGCCAA